TTCAGGTACTAGGAGTACGTCGTATCCCCGCATTTCCATCCCTGCCCTTAAGGTTTAGGTAAGCTGTCCTTAATTTTCAACTACTGACAAGAGAAGAGTAAACAAGGCAGAAGCACCCACTTCCACAGATGCTTTGTCCGGCTTCAAAAGAAATAATAGATTTGACTGTCATTTTTATAACACACCCACGACTGAAAGTACAGAGTGTATTTGCAGTATTACATTTTGGACCCTGAACCCATGAGTTCGTAGTCCGACACGCTAACCATTAAATCATGCTAGTGTCCCCCTTTCGTAGATTCTCATTTACTGTTTAATTAGAGCAATATTGATAAAATATTTATTTTTAACTGTGTTTTTTTCTTTTTGCCGGTTACTTTGGCATCTAAGAAATTCTCGCTCTAGTCAAATAGTACCATGAATACTAAAAGAGTGTATACACAAAATTAATAAAGCCGGATACTTCAAACAATTAAAGTTCATTGTGGTACTAACAACATACAGCCTATGAGTAATTTAATTAGATACTGTCACTTTTCTGATACCTTATAACACTTAGATCATTACATGACAAAGTATAACTTTTGGATCAGTTTTTTGTAGTGTATATAATTTATATACAGTATCACAACATATTAAATCGAAAGTGTTACAATCGTACAAATTTGGTAATACAGAATCACAACAGATCTAAAGTCATGTCAGTTGAAACAGAAGGGGCGTCAGCCTCTTCTCGGCGAGGAAGCGGAGGTGGGATAAACAAAAGAATTTAGGAGGTGCACTCTACATATTAGGGGCACACATACTCGTGTTATAGTGCTTAGTAAGTGAAACAAAAACTTTGAATTTCTCGTTGAGTAAGGAGGCTACAGGGGAGGCTAAGGCACATTTTGGGGTAGCTTCAGCCCCAGCAAACCCCCTTACCGCCTCCCCTGAGTTGTAATATGTAAAATCTACATACTTTAAAATTAATAAATGCTATCATGTTATTAAACCTTTCCCTAAAAATCTGATTTGTAAATGACGTAAATAAAATTGGTAATGATTACAATACACTTACTTAATCTAATTCACATCATAACAGTTTGTTCATTAAATCTAATGATACAAATAGTGCCTAAACCACTACCATGTCTGTCGTACCATAGCCAGCCTGATAGGCTCTGGTATTGGGCAAAAGGCCTCGTCGGCACTGGATATGGCAGATGTAGTGTGGTTGACATATTATACCATATATGTATATCCCTATTTGCATTCACTCATAAGTTCTAAAAACTTCTATAATATTCATACTTTTCTTAAATACGGTTGAGGTCATGCGCTAAATGCAATCTGAAATGTACGTCGATTGTAGAAGTTGAAGGCAGTCGTAGTGTAGTCTTTTATATACAAAGTGAAACAAGATACAATGCAGCTACCCCATGAAACAGCATTTCTGTATTTTGATGCCCGTTTTTTTTTATTGATCAATATGTAGAGAGAACATATATTATAAATGCAGTTTTGGCATTTTCAAACCAGATTCGTTTCAACCTTCTAGGAAAGACTTTCATTTCTCATTTCAGAGAGTCAAGGCTTACTGTGAAAGTCCTGTCATTTCTGTGCTTACTGATCTTTATTTTTATACTTCAACAAAGTAATTGCATCGATCGTTCATTTACATACAATCTATTTCATTTTATTTTTATTCAACCTCTTCCATAAATTGCAACAGTCCGATCACCAGTCGGTCAATTTTTTATCTTTAGTATTTTGAGAGTAAAATAAAGTGTTTATTTTTTTTGTTACCTCGACATCATGTTTTATCTCTCTAAGCTATAACAAATCACAACATCTGTCCTTTCATGTATTAGATCCTCAAACCGCTATTTTTTTTTTTTTTTTGTAGGAAATTAGATAGCTGTGAACTTGGTTTAGCTTTAAAAGTATCACAGTTATACGTCTAGAATATCAGAAACTATCACAAAAAATATGGGCGAGTATCGTTGTATCCTACTTGTACTCTATGGTAGAGCTCTGGATCTCGAAGCTGGCGATCCGGATTTGAATCCGAGCGATGCCACAAAATATTCCCACCCATTTTAAGGTAGGATGCTTCTGACTGGCTGCCTACCTTTTGGGGAGTTGATCGAAATTAATGACGGCGGCAGATCTTAGTAGCTTTGCCATAAATACAAAATACAAATACACGGCAAATAAAAAAAGTTGTAATACAATTATACGGCAATACATTGATTTGTTTGTTTTGTTTATTTTTTGAGTTTCGCGCAAAGCTACACGAGGGTTATCTGCGCTAGCCGTCCCTAATTTAGCAGTGTAAAACTAAAGAGAAGGCAGTTAGTCATCACCACGCACCCCAACTATTGGGCTAGTCTTTTACCAACGAATAGTGGGATTGACCGTCACGTTACAACGCCCCCACGGCTGAAAGGGCAGGCATGTTTGGTGTGACGGGGATTCGAGCCCGCGACCCGCAGATTGCGAGTCGAGCGCCCTAACCACCTGGCCATGCCGAGCCTACATTGATTTAAAAAAAAGATAAGAAATCTCGATACGATCTTAATTTGGGAATGATACAGTACTGGAGTAAGTATAGAGTCTTAACTCATTTTCTGGGAGGAGAATTCAATGCCACAACAGATGAAATTGTAGTTGTAGTACAATCAAACGTCACTATAAATAATGTGTCATATATAACGCATGACAAACATGTTGTTGTTTTTTTGCAGAAAGTTGCACAATAAATCATCTGCACTCTTGTCCACCACAGACATTCGAATCCCAGATAATAATACTGTTGTAAGTCCGTAAACTTATCGCTGGACCACTGGGGAACCACAAGAAGCATGAAGTAGACTATTTAGCATTAAAAAAACAAAAAACAAATATTACAACAAATAAGCATCCATGAGACAGAATTACTTAAACTATCACAAATGATATGACGTTACGAAAAGCACTTACGTGGATAATAATTTTCCAACTTGTTCTTTCTATAATTACTTCCACCCAAAGTGTCGGAGAGGCTATGAACTGGATTCTGCGCATCTGCATCGGGATGATAATCAACAACAGTTGCGTAAATGATAATAAACGTTATTTGTATCATTCCCACGAGCACTGCAAAGTTACCTCGCTTCCACATGATGAGACACTAAACACGAAACTAGCAGAAATTAACTATCAATTTTTTGTAATTTAATATTTCGTCACAGTTTGTGTGTTTGTGTTGTGTTTAACGTACAATGAAGGTCATAGTTACATTACATTCTGCACGTGTAAGCTATTTTTAAAGTACCGACTTGTCGAACGAAGCTTGGAAACCCACAAGCATCTATCTACCTTGAGTATCTGCTTCCCGTGGAACATGATATATTTGACAGTAATATATTTCGACTTGTTTGTCCTGTTTAATTAAGCAACGTAGTTAGCCAACTTGTTTGTTTGGAAGACTGAAATTTTCCTACGCCTCCACCGACCGTTGGTGCGATCAAATATATGGAAACTTTTACAAACTTGTTTATTTATTTATTTGGAAAGTGTATAAACTATACTTTTGAAACTAATCAGCGGTAATTAACTTTGAAAATTTAGGTTGAAGGTTATTTGACACAATGTTAAAGATTGGTGTTGATTTCATTACAGTATAGTGATTATACAACTCGAAATGCAGTATTCTTTATTACAATGTTTTTTAAACTTACTAGTACAAGCTGTTATTATTATCTAATGGCCGAATAATGAATACTGTATCAGTTTCCACAGATATACCCTACCCCAGAGGCTCAGCGGTAAGTCAGAAGGCTTACAACGCTACAATTCGTATCCTGTTGATATATTTTCCGCAGAAATCTTTAGGGTTTTCTAAGTTTTCCTTCCCATTATTTTTATTGTACATATTTCAGTTTGTTCCCATAATTTTTCTCACATACTTCTTTCCGGGTGGGTGGGGATGGCATTACTTACAAAGCGTGTTTCAGGATGGAGAGTTTAACAAACAACTGTATGACAGTAGAAGCATTGGTTGATCTCTGTTGTAAAAACAAGAGCTATTTCACTGAGAATACCTTAAAATATAATATCAAAGAAAGTATTACTTTTGCAAAATAAACAAAAGAGAAACGATTGTCTACTAGAGATAAATCAAATTTTTTTCTTGTCCTCCTTCTGGCTTTACTGCTTCAGGGTAAGAGAAGGACAAGATAAATTTTTCTATATTTTATACGTTAAGTTAAAATGTTCTTTCTAGAGCTAAGAATAGTATCTGAAATATTATTTATGGGGTTTGGGGTCCTTCTTAACCCACCAAGTAATAACCTGGATTAATTTAGGTATGTGAATAATATTAAGGAACTGCACATAGTTCATTATTTGATATTATGTTGTGGACCAACTGTTTACTGATTGTATTCAAGACTTTTTTTCATCAAAGGTAAAATTGAAACAATAATCCTAAACATAAAAGCCTAACGCATTCTTTGATTCACCGCACCTTCTGCTGTGGACTGCAGTTTCACTGATCCAAGCTATGTTAATGAGCCTTGAATAGGCAGAAGGTGCAGTGAATCAAAGAATGCATTAGGCCTTTATGTTACAAATTGTTGTTTAAATTTTATCTCTGATGAAAGGAAAAGAAATCTGTAATTTAATCATTTGAATTATTATTGTTTCATAAGAATTATTCTCAGAGTACTTATGATATTATAATAGTGAATATAGAATGTTATAAGTTCACACATATAAAATTCAAATTATTCACTAAATTATAATTTAGAATCTATATATAAACAATCATCAATCCAAATGGAGATATTAACTATTCTGAACTTAAGTTAAATTAAAATGAATTGGGGAAAATACAAACATGTGTATCTATATGGATGTCTAAAAAATCAATAGTATATTTTTTACTTAACGGTTGTTTTTTCTCAGAGATTATAAAAGATTCTTTACATTTCCGGTCTGAGAGATTATAAAATAATTGCTTTTAAAGAACACTCTGTATTAGAAATGTCGTGATCAGTTAAAAAATGATTACCTATAAATTGTTTTGTGTTTTAAGTGTTTCTAAGGTTTCAAGGTTTTCGTGAATTCTAAATGAGTCTGCTTGTTTTATGCATATACTATACATCACAAAACTAACATTTAACTCCTAACCTGATTTTCCTTAGTTGCTGCCTGGTTTAACAACAATATATGTGAGATACTGTCGATATTGTGGTGCTCACATTCTCTACGTGACTCTAAGTATGTTATCTAGAATTGTCCGTAGGTAGCACAACAAAAACATTTTTAACCAAGCAACGGGCGTTTCAAACACAGTTTCTGTGAAAGTTTTAACCTGAAATATAATTTTCAAAATGTCAACACAAGTTTAATTAGAATATCGGGATCAGCAACCATCTTCAGTGTTTTAGATCACATGCTTCAAATCAACCAATAAAATTAGATTATTTTATCAAACTTTTGATTAACTTCGCTTTTGCGAACGATGTTTCGATTGATCTTTAAACAAACACTCACTAAGGCGCAAGGAGAGAGTCTGGTTTGGACGACTCCACGTAGTAGCCAGTGTTACCAACTTAGAGATTTTGTCGCTAAATATGGTGAATTTTGTGTTTTCCAAGCGACAAAAGTTTGACAAAGTGACTAGCGACTTTCACAGCCGACAAAAATGATATTCGGAGAAAGAAGTCGTCATTATGTATAGTCACAAAATCACTCGCAAACGACTCAGTAGTGTTACTACAATATATTTTCAAAGTTTGGTGAATATAGAAATTCTATAATGTATTATTTCAAGAATGTCTCCTCATGATAACGAACATTTCCCATCCTGTATTTACAAAATGTCTACAGAATTATATACAGATTTTCATATTCACAATTAAATTCTACAAAGATTATGTTTAGTGGCATTTCTGACAACCTCAAACTGTCTAAAGAGCGTCATCTAGCGACTTTTCAAGGATTTTCTGGTGACTTCCTGATTTGTGGAATTGGCACATTGGACTTGCAGCCACTGATCACTGATTTCCCAGTGTGCTGTCTAAGTAGCGTGTATTACTGTCCCTAACTTCAAACTACTGACTATAAAGAAGCATCCATCCAGTAGCAACGACCTTTACCTTATTATTAATAAATGTGTATCTTTTTTATTTATATTTTTAATATATATATTAATAATGTTTGGAGACGGCTTGGATGGGTAATGAAGAAAAACTTTGATATACGTTTAACATAACAGCAAATTTTCTTGGTTATATTTCTATAGAAAAGTCAGTAAACATCTATATTATCGGTTTTCTTTCTTGGTAACTAAATGTGGTCGTTCCATTATTCACAGTTATCCACATTTGACCAAGGCTCACATATAATGTTTAATAGTACTGCGTCAACTATAGATGTAAGTAAGCTGTAACTTAAACCATTAAATGTGGAACTTAGACCTATTTATAGCTACAATAGCAGTTACAGTCGTAGTGTAATGTAGTGATAAAACAGTCGGTTTTCTGCTCAACACAGTCAACCCTTCCAAAATTCACAATTTCCTTTTCTGTTGACCTCGCATTAATATGTTGAAATAACTTTGCATCGGAACTACATTACAATCTTCCATATAGTGCAATGAAACATTAGTAAAGCAACTGCTGTAAAGGGATTTTAAAGAAGTGCGATTGACTGAGAAAAACATTGAAAATTTTAAACTAGCAAAAGTGTGTTAAATATCCTTTTATTTTACAGCACCCCCCCCCAAAAAAAAAACCAACAAAGTGAAAGACAACTACTTTTCTGATTTCTGTAGGCATTGTTACTATATATTAATATTATGACAGTTAAATGATCTTACAGTGACAAGTTACTAAAAAACAACTTGTTCAACAATCTTTATAAAGTTTTATTTATATTAAGTACGAATTCTTTATTTACTTACATGGTTAAAGAGATCTAAATAATTGTGAATAAAGAAGAACACCAAGTAAGCAATGCTTAAGTGCTCAACGGAATGTGATTAAACAAAATAAAATTACCTGCTGTCTCCCAATAACCATTCATTGCTTATTTTACCATTGGCAAATCATTCATCAATGTCAGAACTCTGCCAAATGAAACTGTCATTTGTACTACCTGAATACCGAACAATAGCGTCCATGCCAGCACATGTAAGTTGTCATCCGAGATAACCTGCAAATTTAAAGAATGAAACCCTTTCCTGCAGTTATGCAAGTGTTCACCCTCGGCAGGATATAGGAATGGTATCTGACAACCACCTAGTAGGTTCGGTAGATCCCACAATTCATAATAATCATTCACCACCTCCATCTCCATTCATATTGTATAGGGAAGGTGTGCAATGTGATCACACAAAGCACTAGACACTTTCTTTGGGCATTGCTAAACGGTACCTTTACCATGAAAGTCGCCCAGCACTTCTTGAAAACTGTCACTAGCATAGAACTTTAGTTCTGTTAGCACTTGTAATGAAATAATTAGTGACTGGTTTCGTGCCTTAATTATTGTAAAAAGCAAATCACAAAGATTTGTAATTTTCAAACTAGGTAGCCTATATTTAGCTATTAATTCAAAATTGTCATAAAGAAAGATCAAATTGGTTTAATCAACCCTTAAACACCCTTACCCTTCTAATTTCTTTATCGTACTGATGATTATCAAGTACAGTTGGCGCCACTTAAAATGTATTCTTCTCTAGCTCACTCTATTTTGTGATGAAAAAAGGCACTTGCAGTTACTTCTACTGCGATATTGCAGCCATTCAAAAACCTGCGATTCCTTTATGAAACACAAGATTTTAGTTGTGACATCTACTGCAACGACTGTTCTTTGCAGATCGCTATCACGAAACGTTCCCCTGATTCGCAAGTTGCAATGTTCTGTTCTACGACTTTGAAATATCCCCGTGGTAGATCCTACATATCTCAAGTTACACTACGAACACCTGAATTCATAAATCACTCTATAGGTTTCTGCAGTCTGTCAATTAGACCTTTAAAATTAAATAAAGTGTTCAGTCTCAAGCCTGACTTAAAAATACAAACTAATTTGCTTGAGGATAAAATAATTTT